TCTCAACACCTGTCCACCAGCCTGTCATCCATTCTGAACTGGATTCGGTGTTCTCACGTTCATGGAAAACCCAGAAACCTTTACATTGTGATTTCTAGGCCTAGAAATTTAATGGAAATTAATACAATTTAAAAAATGTAAAAACAATGGATTTTATACAGGTATATAATTATTGTTTTGGTTTTTTGTTTTTATATACTTTTTAATATATATTTGTGCTTGATATTTAATGTCAGCTAAGAATTCTGTGAAAGTTAATTTCCTACTTCATTCATTATTAATTAATAAATTAAAGTTATGTATTAATTGTTCAATATTTCATATAATCTAGAAATACTCTGACATCACAATTATGTTCATATGCTAAATATTATCAAGTTAAATTATACTGTATGTGTAATACATGTTCAATTTAATCAATTAAATCGTTTACTTATTCTGTATGTAAAGCAAGAAGTTTTTCAGTATGTAAAGTTTAAAATGTAAGTTTGTTCCAAAGGTGTGTGAACCCTGTATTCTAGTAGCTTACTGGAACTGTACAGGCATCTTTTCTCATGCTGCAGGGATGTAAAAAGTACAGAGTACAAAGTTTTTTATATCAAAATTTTACTCAATTAAAAGTATCTAGTCAAAAACTTTCCTCATTTATTTGAAAGTACAAAAAAAATCAAATTGGCTGATTATATCAAGAGACAGTGGGAATGTTCTCATTAAAGTAACTTTAATGCAGAAACTGTGTAAAGCAGCTTTAAGCACAGTTTCGTCAATTTTGTGAATAATTCTGGTTATAGGACACCAGATCTTTAAACCTGTTACCTGAAATTAAATTTGTTTGTAGATGTTTGACTCTTGCATATAGTTATTTAAAGCCTGATCACCGACTGTTCAAGTTTGACTTCAAATACAGTTATAATTAAAATGCATTCTTTCAGGTCAAAGACTCTGACAAGGAAAAATACAGTTACATGAGCCAATTATATTTCACTTTTTTTGGGAGGGGCTATTTTAAATAAAATGTAAGTGAGGTTCACAGGAATGTGATTTCACTTGTTATTTCATTAAGGCAGGCAAACTTGGGTATTTTTAATTGAAATTAAAGTTATCATATATATAACTGTTTGTATATGTATATATATATATATATATATATAGGCAGGCATTAAGAAGAGCTCTGCCATTTCTGTTGTGACTCACAGTTCTACTTAGCATTTCATGAGAGAGCATGTGTATGTGTAGTGCGATTTGTATGTATATACACACACTCAGGCCTCTGAGTGTCCCTAAGCATGTGCGTTAAGGTCTCTCTCCGCTCCACTGCATGTTGTGTTTCCCTCTCATTGACGCTCACCAGTTGAGTCCCTCTGTACACTGAGCGTTCATTATTGTGACTCTCTTCATTTATACTGCGCTAAACCTTCTGCCATTAGCAAACACTCCCTCCAGCAGCTCTGCTCATTTTAAATACCTCTGTACAAAAAAGCAGGACTGTAATCAAGGCTGGCGCGGCTGGACGTACTCCAATAAGAATTCAAAGGTGCTCTGTAGTGTGAGCAGACTAAGAATGGGTCAGGAGACATAGAAATTTCCAGCAACAGATCTTAAACCTCCCATGGCACAGTGTGACATTTAAGTAGAGAGGAAGGATTTTGCTTGCGATGAGACAAGAGAACCTCTGCTGGTTTGATTTTTCTCTAAAGCTCTTGCTGTCTGTCTGTCTGTTTCACTTGTGAGGCTTCTATCCATCCTTCAGCTCTATTTTCCTCTCCTTCGCCCTTTCTCTCTCTTTCTCTCTCTCTCTCTCTCTGGAGCTTGATTACTTTTTAATGATTTCTGGGGCTAAGACGAATGAGTGTGTTAAATGAAGAGAATTAGACATGTGCCGCAGAGCGCTGGGGCATTTGTTACTTCAATAATGGAGCTTAGAGACTTTGTTTACTGGGAAATATTGAGTTTCACAAATGAGACGGGGAGAGAAGCTCTATTTTCCTCTCCTTCACCCTTTCTCTCTCTTTCTCTCTCTCTCTCTCTGGAGCTTGATTACTTTTTAATGATTTCTGGGGCTAAGACGAATGAGTGTGTTAAATGAAGAGAATTAGACATGTGCCGCAGAGCGCTGGGGCATTTGTTACTTCAATAATGGAGCTTAGAGACTTTGTTTACTGGGAAATATTGAGTTTCACAAATGAGACGGGGAGAGAGAGACCAAATATTGCAGCTTTCAGTATGATATTTCTCTGGTCAGTCTCTGTAGCTTTTATTAGGTGCTGGGCAGTATATCGGAAATGTATGATCTATTCAATATTATGTTGCTTATATAAAATTAACCAACATCATAAACATTGACTATGATTTTAATGTACTTTTTAATTTGGCTATAGACATTCCTAAAGGCCACAACAAATTCACAATCGCTTCTCAATCGCTCCTTTTGTCATGACTGGCCACGTTTTGTGTAAATGAGATCATGAAGACTGACTATCTATCTATCTAAAACTTTTTGAATTTGAAGATCAGGGTAAATTTAACTTATTTGGTCTTCTGGGAAACATGTAACTATCTTCTGTAGCCTCTGAAGGGCAGTACTAAGAATTTACACATCTCCATTCTGTTCAAAAGTTT